CCAGGTTAACACGAAGCTTTGCCATGGGGTCTCATTGTGTTCACTTTCAGCCGGAATGTGCCTGCGAGCATCGATAAATTCCAGAGACAGCGAAGAGACCCAATGTCTATGTCGGACATCGGATTTACTTGCTGCTAATAAGATCTGGCGAACATGCAACCAGTGAGTTCTTGCTCAACCTGTATGTCAGCGTACTTTCAAACGCATTCAGAACACCTGGCTGGTGTGTGTGCGCTCACAGGGTCATCGAGGGCGTCCGTTAAAACGCACCCATTGATCAGCGCATAGTGCTGCAGCGGTAACTGATCGCATTGTGATCGATTTGCGTCCATGGCTAGTTTCAAGTTGATGGGCGCATGTCACCCTCCGGCGGGTGCTGTATCGGAAGTTAGTGCTCGCAAATGAACTAATCGTTCACCTTTCTCGTTGCGGTAACCTACATTATGTTGGCCGCGCAGATGCAGCTCATCAGTGGACAATGTTCCAACTTGAGCCCTCAGATCTCCAGCCAACACTACAGTGTCCGTGGTTCTTCTGTGGCGAAGGAGCTCGTTCAGTTGGCGATAGTTGTCTTTTACCGAATCATCCTTACTGTTTGTGGGGGCGTAGGCAGCGATGACAAACAGACACCTATTCGTCTTGCGCGACTTTATAGCTTTGGAGGAGGCAGCCAGTCGGATCGCACACATCCGACTACTGATTGGGATCCAATCAACCAAGTCAGCTTTAGCCCGGGGGCTCATGGCAATACCAACACCGGCTTGGCCAGTATTCGAAGCTGCATCGTCTCCGGATAGGCGCAATGGGAAAGCACTGCTAGTGTCACCTAATGGGGATCGCAGAGTGAGTACAGAGCTCAAGTCTTGTAGGCGGGTTTCTAAAAGCAGCAGATATCGATCGAGAAGGTCTGTAACAATGTGCGGACGTTGAGGCATGCCAGTCTGAGGGCTCCAAGTAGAGGCTGTTGAACTGGGCTTGTCGGCTTGTTTGCCGGTCCGTATCCTAAAGGTAAAGAGCTTGTCTTGTAATCTGACGGCACGGCTTCGAGCCTGCGTAGGGGCAGGGTGACTCTCACAGTATCCTTAGCCCGCGTGCGACCGGTGGTGGTTGCGCGGCAGCGAAGCATCGTTACATCGTACCGGCGTACTGTTGATGCCTTTCTCTTTTTTTTCTGTCCGCTTGGTTGGACATGAACTTGTCGACAGGGCAGGAGTGATGCTCCGTGTTTGCGTGTGCGTTGAAATAGAAGCCAAACGCCTATTAAAGCAAGGTGGTTGAGCGCCAAGAATTTGTCGGTTGAAAAGCGGGATGGTTAGTGAAGTTGGAACGGGACTATAAGGGTGAAAAAGCGTAAGAAGGGGAATAAGAGGACGAGAATTCTTGAGCAATAGCATCGGAATCCCTGTGCACCCCGCTCGATGCAGCATATAGGGCGCCGTTAATCATCCTTTGCGACGACCGTGGCTTCAAAGAATTGCGTGGGTAAGATATTGTCAGATTGCTCAGGAGAATGATTAGGACCCTCAACTAAAGCCTTTAGTCCAAATACCTGACTACAAGATAACTGGGTTTTGGCATTGGGCTACAGAGTCCCTTTTACGGAGTGTGGAGCCACTCCCATTCCAACCCATAATCTGGAGGATCAGAAGACTGAGTTTGTCCAGTTTTTATCCATTGACCAACCTGATATGAGTGACTCTAAAGGTCCACAAAGCATCACCAGTCATAGCTCAGCGGGTTTTTCAGGCACACAAGCCATCGCACCAGGTTAAGTTCCAGTCTCATCACAGTGGCTGCTTGCTAGCTGAGGGCTTGTAGGTCGTTGCATATTCTCGCTGTGCCATCCTTTTTGAGGACTGGAACCGTAGGATGTACCCATCCAGCACAGTTGATCGGTTCAATGAGATCACTCGCAATTATTTGCTGTAGAACAGACGAAACGGCCTCTCTTCTGGTCAAAGGAATGGGACATGGTTGAGCAATAGCTTAAGATCCCGTTTCAGAAGTTTACGGTGAATGGAGGATGGAGCTCGCCTTATTGTTTTTTTTTTCAAACAGCTTCGAGTCCCGCCTTTGTGGAATGGATAGGTTGGCTGCTTGCGAGATAGGGACGGCGTAACTTTCAGCTCAACCCATAGCATTTCGTCCAAGTAATGAGCGGTTATTTCCCGGGGGTGACGTAAATAGCAACTGATCTTTTACTGTCCCCAACTTGCAGGATAACCACAGCAAATCCTCGTATTTCTAGATGTGACGAATTTCTACCTATACCATTCAACTCCCCCTACTACTCTTCTGTAATCAGTACGCAGACCAAACTACTTATTATGCCATAAGTTAATTGGCGGCTTAAGTTTGGTAAGCTCGTCGCTTGGTGAGGGTGCTACCTTGTCCTCTGCACGGCAGTAACGTGTAAGTCAGTGGATAGTGAGCGGCGCTAATCACATCTAGTAACTTATTCACGATGGTCGTTGCCGTCCCCCGTAGGTCAGTGGTCTTAACCACGGACTGGCAACAGTCGAGTTGCGGGTTCGAGCCCTACCAGGGTCCGATGGAATGCGCACTGCTGGCGATTCCCAAAAAAGGATGAAACGCGCGTACAGTGCTTTTCCGGGTGTGTGACGGCTGTCTGAGTGAGTCTAGATGTGACGAATTTCTACCTATACCATTCAACTCCCCCTACTACTCTTCTGTGATTGTATAACTGTCAAATCGATAGGCTGGGGTGCATGGGTATATCGTGTAGATGCCTGTCGCACAATCCTACTTGGAACTATCGTAATAAGAGACGCGGAGTCAGGTTCCATGTCAGCATGCCGTGTACACTTACTGCTACGGTACGAATGTCAGGTAATGGGGATTTAGGCTCTGCACAAGGAGGGCAATAATAAGTAACGGTAGTAACGATAGTAAATACATTTTCAGTATATTGTACGGGCAAGTCCGCATAAGAATCTGTAGGAAGAATTTGGGAGATGTATCCTGGACGATGACAACGGACATACTGCCCCCGCTTACTACCTTTTGCAGTTCACTTCTATAGCAGGGCACGGTGAAATTGGCTTTATGCTGTAGGCTGCCGCGGCGAAAGCACTCCAGTGTAATTTTAGGTTTGCTTGACGGACGATGGATCCTGGCAACTCCCTGTATGCCTGTTTGTTCAGCAAAAATCGCGATTGTTTTGCAGCATCCGTTTTTTAGCGAGCGATTTCCACTGCCTTATCCCACATCATTTTCGCGACGTCTTCGCAGAGTAGCAATTCTTGAATCCTACTATTGTTATTCTACAAACCAGCTGTTGTATCAGCACGATGACCTCGATTCTGTTTTTCGGGATAGAGGAAAACAAGGACCTACGCCGCGAACGAGGCGATTAATGAAACTTTCCAGAGATTGCGGTGGTTCTTGGCTAAGTCTGTCGCATTTGAATCGAGCTGTGAAAACCTTTGACTCATCACTTATCCAACATTTCCAGCGCTTTAGTCAAGGTATCTTAAGAATGGGCTACCAAGGCATCAAATTGTCACTACCTCTTGTCATCGAGCAGTTGCCTGAGAATTTTCAGTTTCTGACATTCCGGACTCACTTTCATGGAATACGCCGTCGGATCACAAGACTGAGCTGTAAAAGCCTGACGAAGGTTTCGAGGGCGCGACGCCAGTGTTGTGTACGCAAATGGAGAACCACTGTGTTGGAAGTAGCAGTGTGCTCGTCATGTCTACCAAACGTCGATACATGAAGGGATGGAACAGGATATCTGGTCGTGTGCGTGTGTGCATGCTTATATCAGTGCAGCTAGCACGTGTCTGAACGTCGTGCGAGAAGAATGCACAACAAGGGCCGTTTGTTTATTTCAGGCCATATGCATCCTCGATCTGTCAACCTTGTATGTCCTCCGACACTGTTATTGTGCGTTTGCTCACCGCACTGTCCCGATCTCAGCAATGAGCACAATTCCAACATAAATGCTCCTCAGTTCTTCTCATAATTTGTAAGAGCGCAACATCAGAGTTACTTGCCGCGCCGACTGTCATCATCCAACGGAGCTGACGATTTGAATTCCGATTATGTCCGTGGATCGACAGTCTTTTATTGGACGTAGAGGATACAGGTAGATAGCCATCTAACTGACCGGTGTGTTTCTACTTGTGCCCTACTCCATGAGACTTGTTTTGTTCCTGATTTACGTAAACCAACAACCTGTTTCTCCGGCCGCCTTGTCTGCGAGCAACCTAAAGAGTTGGGGAGTAATTGATGCTTTCGATGATTGCGACGTCCTTCAACGCTACCTCGACCGCCTCTGGTCTGCCGGTCCACCCGGGAGTGGTGATGTACGGGCTCATACTATCCCGTTGCGACTTGAAGTACTTGCGTAAGCTGTGTCGGATCGGACTACCCATGCTTTAGGCGCTTAAATGCAACTTCTGCACTTGGTCCGAAGAGGTTGCCACTCTCATCTTCGACTATAGTGCGACTCACCGAACTATCCAATCATCCGAGACCAGATGCGAAAGATCGGACGGATTCGGCATGTAGCTACCGAGCTGATCCTTATTTTACTATATATGCCATACGAAGAATGGTGCAGTAGACTAAGGCTGTGCACCTTGTCATATCGTTAAGTTCAAGCTGACCTCAAGATGACTCACCCTAATCACATCTGAATGGCTTCCCAATGCTCAGACCGCTGCTACACATGCGCGCACCAGGTAGTACTCGCGGACACTGATACTGGATCTGAAGCGAATAGCTCACTCTGTGGGCTTCGAGCGTCGAATGGAACTATAATCGGGGCAATATCGATATCTGCTTTACGGTTTCTCGATTTAGGGAACGTTTCGCGGTTAGGTAGGACTTATACATTTGTAGTATATCGGAACTGCGCAGGAGTTATTCGTATTATTCAGCAGGGGTACCCCATCATATTTCTATCGGATTACATAGATATGCATTTCTCTTAATCTTTAACGCGTTCATTAATCATCATTTATTACTTTCAGAATCAGACACCGGCGTAAGCGCCACCGATCACACAGACGACGAAGTAGCTCTTCTAGGAGCCGTTCTAGACATCACTTAAAGCATCGACACTCCTCTAGACGCCATAGGCACGGCTGCCATCGACATTCCCACCACCGTTCACGAAGCCACGATCGTCGGCGCCACATTCGGAAACATCGCAAGCCTTCCAGTTCCTCATCCTCTTCATCATCGAGCAGTTCGTCTTCCCACCGCTCGACAGGTCATTCTGGAAGTCGTAGATATTCCTCAAGTTCATTTACGATGCCAACCAAAGCCGTTCTCACCTCACCTGTGAGTTTCTTAGTGTTTTCGTTCTTTACATCCACGTTTGAATTCAGCTCAGCCGGACATTTAGTCTAATTGTTTTTACTGTGAATATTTCCATTACTCCTTAACTTTGTTCCGGTTTTATTATACTTCTGTCACTGCATCTACTTACGGTCATTCTCATTCCAGCGCGCTCTGCTACATGCGTAACTTGTATTTGTTACTTGGGCGTGCCCCACAGTTATCCCCAGTTGATGAGGCAACACTCCCATTATGTGCGATACTTTTCTTGTCTTCACGATCAGTTGAGCTACACCAACGGACATTTTCAAGTTGCCGTCATAACAATTGAAATCGGCCTCTATCACTTTACTCTAAATTTGTAGTCATTTGTTGTCCAGGTGCCTTAATCTCTGAAATTATACACAGGTAAGACCGGTCAGTTTATTTTAAGGCCAGTTCGATTGGTATCGTTCTTAGTTGCTGCGGGCACTCTTGTTAATGACATACTTGTTACTGATTTGCTGCCTTTCTGCATCGATTCCATTCTCTTAACCATCACTATTGTAATTCATACAATGGTCAAGAGTCTACGCTGATAAGCGTAGTCTTGCAAAAGCTATGTGAATCTGGTCTCAAACAAATCCATGCGTGACACCTCAGTCCACCTTCTGATCTGGATTGCCTCTCCTGCGCTCTTTGTCGGCCGGTGGCCGAGTGGTCTGCACGTTTGGTTTGCACCCATAAGGTCACCGGTTCGAATCCGCGTAGGGGTGGGCGTCCTCGCGGTATATTCAGCCCGCGCGCGACTGGTGGTGGTCGCGCGGCAGCGCCGCGCCGTTACGGCGTACAGCCGACACATTCTTATTTATTTTATTATTCCCTGCGCTCTTTAATATGATGTTGATCCAGTGCTCCGAGTACGGTCTGTTGAACAAACCTTTATTCCACTACTTTATGGATCAAGCTATCATGTAGGAGTTTGAGGATGAAAGGTCTTTGTTTACACTACCCAGTAAGATGCCATCCCGTATCTGCGATTCACGCCATCCATCGAGAGGTGGTTCATTCCAAACTTATAACCCTGCTCCACGCTCTGGTCTCCAAAAATTGCACTCATCTGACTGACTTAGCAGAAAATACTTACCCTATCGACCGATATCTGCTGCTCATCGGAAACTTGACTGTAAGATTAGACCTTTGTGCTCACCCTGTGACCTCTCACATGCGACACTCGCGGCACTTTCACATCGCGCCTGTTTGGAGATGACGCAACTTCAAATGCCAGTCAACCTGGTGTGGGCATCGCATTGAGTCCCCAGGCTGAAGTTGTCCTGATCGAAGTCGCTCGTAGACAAACTATGTCTCCTTCCCGTCTATCCTTCACAAGCTCTAGCGCTGACTCAGTGGAAGATGATTTCTGTCATCAACTAAACGCGTTTCGTCGTTACAAAAAGTGCTGCATCTGGGCATCCAACACGTTTTAGGCTTCCGTGATTATAGCGGTGAGCGATTGCTACATCTGTGTGAAGATGCTCATCTGTTTCTCGCGAGCACCAGCCGCCGGAGAGTAATGTGGCGCCCACCAGCCATGAGCGCAAATTGGTCACATCGCGATCGGTTGCCGTCGGAGAGGCTGTATCCAAAACTGTCGCTCGATTTGGAGCACAAGCGTGGCCCTGACCACACACTTGTGTGTGCCGATCTCCATGTTCGCTTCAGCGGACACCTGCGGCAACGCTATGAGTGCATAGACACCAACCAACTGGCGGAGCCGGGTGTACTCAATGTATGCCAAGCTTCGCTGGTATGCCGGCTAAGTGCTTACTTGAACACAGTTGAAGATCACTGGTTACATATCCACCAGACGTTATTAGCAGCAAGCATGTCTTCACATGTGGTAAATCTTATTTTAAACCTGGATATTGAGTCTCTACGCGGTCTCTTACTTCCGGATGCTCACTGACGTGTTCCGATTGGAAACGAACACGAGAAGACCTCAGGGCGAAACTGCATGCTAATCCGAATCCTGGTGGTCTCATTGTGTTGCGGAGATAGAAACAGCCGCTATCTTTGATAACCATCGTAAATTGTTCCGTCTGATACGGTAAACGTACAGCAAGAAACCTGGTATTGTCGAGACTGTCTGCAACGAGAGTGGACTGCCTATCTGCAGTCTGTGAAAACGCTCAGAGTGTTGGACTGAACACCTTGAAAAGCAGTTCAATCAGCAGGAGTTACCGGTTTCTTTATCGGTCATTGATCACTCTTCTCCGTCCCCCTTGATCCGCCTTCACACGCAAAAGTGGAACGTGAGATTAGACTGCTGATACGTTGGCAGGAGCAGCTGGACTTCCTCCACCTCCCTTTAAATTCGGTGGACCATTAATTGTGGATGATTTGCACAACTTACTAGTGAAGTTGTGAGAGCAGGAGTCTATCCAAACAGACTAAAGCCGATTCGCTACGGCCCTGATTTTCAAGAGAGGCTCACGTTTGAAATGCGGTGATCCTAGGAGGATCGGTCTGGTTTAAATTACTTGTTTCTGTCGCTCTCCATAGACTGGCTGGCGCGCGTGAAAACCAGACTCGCGATAAGCAAGATGAATTTTTCAAAATCGAGATTGCGTTGACCTTATCTTCACATCATGTCAGATGTCAGAACACCGCCATATTTATTGGCGATCCACCGTAGTCGTGTTCTTCGACCTCAAAGGTGCCTTCGATTCGATGGATCGCTGTGCTCTTTGGCACTGTCTGGACATGCGTGTAAACATTGTCAGAATGCTATATGCGCGTAGTTCGTGCAGAATAAGGGCTTATGGCAAATTGTTGCCGCCCTTCAATATTTTCAACAGTGTAGGACAGGGATGCCCGCCGTTACCTTTCCTCTTCAACTTCGCTATGGAAATCGCGCTCACTAGACATGACTAAGGTGTGGAGCTGTTTCCAGATGAACGACTTCTTGACTTGGAGTACGTTATGACATTGCCTGCAACTGTGGCAACTCACAAACGTGCCAAGCAGCACTAGACAGATTAACACTAGTTGTCAATCGTTTTGGGCTTTGCTTTGTGTCCTCAAAATCCTTCGTGGTGATTAGTTAGTAGTCGTTCAAAAATTTAACTATTTAGGCAGCTAGATTAGCGGCTGTAAGATAGAGGTTACGAACCGTATAGAAAAAGCTCGAGGCGCTTTTGTTAATCTCAGCCACCTGTGGCGCTGGCGCGACATCACTCTGAAGGGCAGAGTGTACAACGTAGCGGTGTGTTCAATCCTCCTGTACGGTTGTAACCTGACTCATCAGCTCGACGGACGCAGTGGCTAGCTATACTCGATTATCGGTGCCTGCGCAGCTTAGCTCGTCTGGTGGGGGCACCGCGTGAGCAATTATCATGTTTGGTGTCGTGTATTTGGTGCATGGAGAGCGCGCGAACCGCCAGCAACATTATATCAAACATCAGGCTTCACTAACTGTGTCATGTTTGCGCGGGCCAGCTCACCGACTTCCGTGCCGTGCGTTTGTGTGCCGGGAATGTGGATCGGAGAAGAGAGGAGGCCAAGCCATGGCTTAGTCAAGAGGAATGAAAACCCCCGCGTCGAAGTTGGCATGAGTTGCTGTCTCATAAGTGGTGGACTTGGGTTGGAAGGACGACGAACACGTTTGGTTGGGTACACTTGTTGACATGGCAAAGAATCGAGCTCGGTGGCGGTTGTGTTGTTTCTTTGTCACTCTCATTCTCCTTTAGTTCCCCTTGCACCAACGATCTCACCCGATGCATGATATGAAACTCAGTATTATATTGTTTTTCTTATAGCTTTTGTAGTCAGTAATGTTTACTATCGAATCTTTTTGTATTGTCGCACATTAGCCTAGGTGTGTTTCTCATCCTCTAACGTGTATTGATGATGACGACCTAGGCACAGATCTGTTAAAGTCTTCATTGAGTGAACTGATAGTATGTGAGCGGTTAGTCGATTTTCGTGTCCATCACATTTCTTTCGTGGACTGGGCTTTTTGACGAACAACTTAGCTAATCCTCTGTTTGGCCTTGGCTGCCGAATCACTGTGGCCTACCTGGCAGGTCGGCTTCACAACGACCAAACTAAACAGGACTCACCGCCTGCGTAAAAATATGTCCGATTCCAACGGGCTTCCACCATCGACCGGTACCCGAATGGTTTGCGCGCCTTCCGTGCTAGCTGGAAGTCATCGGTTTGATTTCGTGTAGGTGCAGGCGACCTTGTGCGACTGTTAGCAGTCGCGTGTCAGCGAAGCGTCGGTACGGTGTACCGGCTTCACCAATACCTTGTGGACATGTTCTTTACTCCACTTAGCCTTTGCTAACAGGTTAGCAATTGCAATCATTCCTTAACAACATCACTTGGAAATCATTAAGGCGGTAATTGTACGCTATTGCATCCAATCTTCTCACATGTAGAGAGTAGCCGTCCCTAGGGTCGTCACCGGTTCGAAACTGCTTAGGTGCGGATTACTTTGCAGTATCCATAGCCCACGCGCGACCGCTGGTAATCGCGTGACAGCGAAGCATACCGGCATACCGGGGTATTGCTGATGCCTTGCTGCTTGCTTGAAGTTTCGCCTGTAGCTTTATCTGCCAAAAGCTCGAAAAAAGGCTTCCTGTTCGCGAATCTCATTGATTCGATTCCGGTAGCAGCGCACTGGCTCCCTTACATCCCTCATCTAGGTTCGTTGCAATTATTGTTGTGGTTCAAGATTGCTGTTTCAATTTTTCATCATCGAAGTGATCGTTAACGCTTTCCCTCTGGTTGTTTTTCAAATGAATCCTTGGTCAGTGAAGAACGTCGAATTTACAACCAACGGATTATCTTTTGAGCTTGATTAATTCACTATAGATGCGCCTCTAAATTTGTCAACGCAGCTTCTGACACAATACTTATGTGCTATGGTTTACATGTGACCGTAGCACCATTCTGACACACCACTTTTTAACAGTTGTCAGTCACTGGGCATGATTGATCGGTCCGCTCATCTAACTAGTCTCATCAGCTTTGTCGGGTGTCTCTGTAGAAGTTTTGGATACATCTGTATGCTCCGTGTGGCTTCTCCTGGTCTCAATTACCGATGGAGACGGCCAAGTATCGGCCTACCGTTCAACGATTTGTGTTGTGACCTTTCGATGCGAGCGGCGTCGCCTTATGCACCACAGAAATCTCCAGTCCGTTCGGTGCCCACAGAAAAACTATTGCTGACTAATTGCTGTTCTCGAACAACCTAGGCTACCTCGGTCATGCTATTTGTACGCTTGTCCACCACCTGTTTTGGCACGTACTGTTTGCCATTACGCGTGAGTGTGCGAAACCGCAGGGATCGGCCTTGTCAGTTGTTTGTTTGACTACGCGCATTCAATAGGTTCGTGACCTTGCTTCTTACATATCCACCATTTTATTCGCCGAATGCGCCCATCTTTTCTTACCCGCTTGGCTTTCTGCCATTTTATTTCCCTCAACTGATGGTTTTCAACATCCTAGTGATTGGGTCGCTGCAGATGAATTCATCACTGTGGTGCTCGGACTTGACCGAACTGAATTGAACTTGCAACTCGAATTCATCTTTTTTCTACCACTATTTGACCGGGACAACTTTTATTAAATTGTCCTGTACTGCCGTTTTGCCGGTCATTAAGAGCGAGATACAGCGTCGTATCCCTTTGCAATTTTAAGGGATGTGCCTGCTACGGCTAAATACACTCGATATCGTTGTCCATCGATTTGCGATCGTTTGATTAGCCTCAAGAATCACTTCAGACTTGACCAGTTTACTGTGGTCAATGCCTCCTACCGTGTTCATCATCTTCCGGTATTTGATACAGTTGTAGCATTCTGGTTCCAATATTCCCCCACTACAAGTCCATGTTTTTCTCTTCGTGTAATAAAACGTTCTGTCGTACGTACGTAGTATTATCTACTTCCGATTTGTTACCACTCACCTAATCTACCTCATGTTTCTCCGTCTTCAGCCCTCTCCTAAACGGACGGAGACTGAAGCTTCAAAATCCGCCCCGTCCTCAGCCTCTACATCGTCTTCAGCTGCCGTGACTTGCTCGTGCGTCACTTCTCCTTCCCCAGGTAATCTCACAGAAAAGCCGTACTCCGTAGCTTTTTAGCATCAATACTTTTATAGTTTACCTTATTTTCCCAAGTGCTACGTCAGACTATCGACACAGCTATTATACTTATTTTCATCTAACCACGACGTTGCGGTTACGGATTTTGCGGTGTGCAATTTTCTTCCAATGTTACTCATAGGTAGCGTAATGCGCGGCCGATTCTAGCCAGCACACTGGGTCTGGCTTGTCTCATGAACGCCACACTGTGCGATATCATGTCAACTAGTCTCCGTACTTCCACCCCACCGTTTTATTCTATTTTTATTTCAGTTGAACTTTTGGTTAAATCTGCACTTTTCGTTGTTCCTAGTCTAATAATCTCTAATACCTTCAAACTGCCATTCACTTCAAAAACCCATTTGGGGTCCATTGTATAAAACGTGCACAATTAACTGTTTTTTGCGATCTCGTTGTACAACTTGATCAAACCGCTCATTTGGACTGTGCCTCGCACCATTTATTTATTTACCTTTTTTACATCTATATGGGTATTTCTTCCTTATCCTTCGATCGTTCCGGCACTTAGCCCAAACAGACGTAATCCTTACAGTGTGCTGAGGCAGGCGACACAATCATTCGAGACCCGAGCACACCGGCTCTTGGAGTGCACGCCAAGCAGTGTCTATGACAGAATCACCTCGCTTCATACCTATTCGTCAGTTTGAATACATTACTGCAGCTTACACTGAGAGAACCGCAAGAATCTAGTCGCAGTCAAGCAATGCTGATCGTCTTTGGCTTAGTGCGCACGTAGATTAACTCAGATGGACCCGTGTTTGTTCAAGTCAGTTGCCCGTTTTTGTTTGCCCCCTTTCATCTTCACAGTATGACCTCCATTCCCCCGCAAGGCAATTAGGTTCTTGGTCTCAGTAAACCAATTCATTGAATTCTCTTTGAACGTCGTGAAGTCTTCCATTGTTATTTTGATTAATGACTTACCACATCTACACCCTGCATGCTTTAAATTCTGTTCAGTGTTTTCTTGACTTCACTTGCTGCGCTTTCGAGTAGGTCTGCTATGTTGTATTTCCAAATTTATGAGGCTCTTCAAGCGAATTTGTTATCCTGTTGTTCACCCAACAGCTACTTCAACGGCAAGCTCTGTACCACGCATCAATACCCAGGAGTTACTTAATCAAATACAAAAACATCAGGAAGCACAGGCAAAGGCACAAGCGATCGCTGCAGCGGCTGCTGCGAATTTGCCCAAGTACTACAATCCGTCAAGCGTTAATGCAGTGAAGCTTGCAGAGCAGCAAGAGAAGAGAAAATTATTGTGGTCCCGGAAAAAGGATGACAACAACGAATCACAGGTAGACTCACTGAACTAATTTCGATTCAAATGCACTCTCTGCATCAATTTAATTTGTTCCTACTTGTCATAGTCTTGTCTGTTTACATCTGGATCCCTAAACTTCCATGCGAGCACGCAACAAAGTTGTAAGATTTCCAATATTGTCACCCTAAGTGTCACATTTCCGATGTACTTGTAAACCTTTCAACACGATCGAAGTGTTTTGTTTTACCTCTGTTACGTTAGACGTCTCGATTTCTTTAATCTGTTAATTATAAAAGACGTAGAGTTAGCTGGCGGTATTCTCTGACACTGCTTCCTGCTGCTCTAAATATATTATCCCAGGCCATCTAACCACCGCCTCTTAATCTACCTGCCCGTTTATTTGACCTCATTCACCGATAATCTTTATTTCTCCATTTGTCATTCTAGGACAGCAAGACGTCACTCTGGACGACTACTTCTTTGATCGCAGGCAAGGGTAATACGGCAGCAGCTGCAAAGTTTCGGAAGTTGATGGGAATCCACGACGACGCAACCGCTCTTAAAGACGATGTGGAAGCTATCAGTATCAATGGCGATGCGCAGAAGCGAGCAGAGGAACAGGCTGAACTTTTTCGCCGGTTAGAACAGGAGTACGAGCAGTCCCGGGCATTGACTCATACGCAAAGGGGAGTTGGCCTCGGGTTCTCCTCTATTACCAGTGTCGACTACAGTGCTTACTCCGCCATGCAACAAGAAGCAAAAGACAAACTTGACTTGTGAATGTTTTTCCCGGAATCCATTGTACAGTTGGAATTATTTCGTTTCCTTTAATAATTTGCTTGCTCACTGCGACATTCTTATATCAAAATGGGTTTCTCAACTGCATGCATCTTAGTTGCATCGGATTACTTTTGCTCACTTTCGTTCCTTTGTAAGGTCGATTATCGCACTCTCATTTCCTATTTATTTTATGTTCGCGGCGTAGCAGGGGAACTAGCAAGCCACTGGAGTTTGGGTTTATATCCATTCACCAAAAACCCGACGTTATTAAACACGAGTTAAGCATGCCGGTACGTTGCGCCACCACTTCAAATATGTGTCTAGTTACAAGTGCCGTTAACATGTAGGTTGGTCGCTTAATTCCCTTTAAAAACGAAATTACGGTATGTTTAGACTTATTTTTTTGGTGCTCGATAAATGACGAGCGTCACACATGGCCGATAAAAAACAACAGTCTCTAAAGCGCCGATCATGATTGACGGGTGCTAGCAACGTGCTCACAGCACATCGATATAAGCCTCGGGTACTCTGGTTCCATTTTTTCACACCATTTAGATGTATGTGGTTCGACTGACAGTAGCTCACTCCGCACCGATTTTTCCCTATTTTACAAGATGGCATAGCCATCCAGTAACAAGCTTTCGCAGCATGTAGTTGGATAAGTCAGGCAGGCCTCTATGCCGACTTCGCTCCAAACTTCTTACCTTGTCGATATTGAGTTTCGATGGAATAGGATTTTTTCTTCCATGCATGGCACAAAGTCCTCTGTTTGCGGCATCGGGTTACTGAATGACTGGGGAACGTACTGAAATCCGGAGGTAGGTTTTCTGCCAAAAACATCTACCACGACGTGAACACCCTGATCCGCTGCATTACCAGCTCAGATATCATTCATCTTTCGGGAGGTATGAATACCCGAAACTGTTTGATTTCGAACACACGGACAGTGGTGAATGTTTATTGCATTTATGCACCATCAATTGCCTCTTAGCAGCACCGCCTTCAAGCACCACTTGTTCTGTAACTAGTCGATGACGTAACATCACAATAAGTCACAAATGATGTGGTTTCTTCATTGACTCGTATATTCTGAAGAATATAGCATATGAGAAGATAGAAATGTAGTTACGGTAATGATGATAAATAAAAAATTGTTGTATTTACATACCACGAAGAAAGGCCGACGGATTTATTTACTAAATTGTGCGGCGGGATCGCCGTAATAGTTGGCTGCTCGAATTAACGATGTGTAAGGCAGTTCTGAAAGGAATCTACAAGTTTTTCCGACGGTGGCCCATATTCGTTAAATAAAGCATTTGGTATCGCGGAGCACTGATAATTGCTGCCTGCCCCTTGGCTGTTGCTCTCGTGAAAGTGGAAGTAATATTTAATATGAGACCAATATAAAGAATAGAAGGTAGACAAAAACAATAAACAGTGTGGGGTTGATCTGGTCGAATTTTGTAAATGGGTGGCTGAAAACATTTTCTGTTCAAGTTGTCAAAAGAAAATAGGTTCCGGATCGGTGCTTCAATGGCAGCCGAGGTGATTAGGAATTGACATTGAAGCACTGTAGTTTTGTGCTATTACCTCTGTACAGGAAAGAGAACTGGTTAGAAATACGGAAAATGGTTAGTTTATACATAAATAGGTGTTGGTATGGCCGCAGACCAAGAAAAACTTTCGTCAAAATTCATTAGCTATGTCTAGATCTATAGGTTTTGTTTTGTAGGGCTCAAGGTGACATTGTTCCGCGTTGCTGTGCCGCAGGCCAGAACAGCCAACAGTTGCGGTGCGTCAAAATGCTGCGTATGGGCGATATAAGATGATGGCGATTGATACAATATCTTAGATAGCTGCTAGACTATTTTCATATGCCGAATTTGCACCAACCCTATAACAGATAGGCGTACCGGGATACATGCGCGCAGAACTTTCAACTCCTTATCCTAAAAACGCCGAGATTTGATGGAACAGTATGTCGGCCGGCATGCATAGTGCGGGAGTCTCTGCTTGCCACATTATCAGTCGTCACCGCACCAGCCAATGAACATCCGAAAGGTCATTGAACCTGGTGGAGTCCAGAAAACTGCCTATTGGCACCGACACAACTTAACCAAACAGTCGCGAAGTAAAACAGTGCGTGCTGACTAGGGAGTATGATGGATCCAAAAGTCCCTAGAGATGGAAGAGTTCTTAGCGGCTGATAATTACCGCATACTCTTAAAATGGTCCGCGCCACTAGTAACAGGTGCTGATGCGTCATTGAAGGAACTAAGGACAACGTGAGTGCCATCATTCACATGCCATCTGGCTCGTTGGGTGGAGCAATTTCCAGGGCAGCTCAGGTGGGCAAGCACACTGTTTATGCTAACTGTAGGGTTATTAGTCCCACACTGGTGGTGACAGGGTTATTGGCCTCAATTCTCGTCTGTTGCATCGATGCGGAACGGGGATCTTGAGTTAGGGAGAGCGAGCAGGTTTTCACACTGGGCGGCACAGCGCCACATGTACCCCAAATCCACAACAGCTGTGTTCCTCAACTTCAAGAGTGCGATTGGCTTTCAATCGGTCCATTCAGTCCGACATATTTGAACGGAAAGGTGTTCGCATGAAATGCCTGGACCATTTGTGTGCCCTGTACTCGAACACTGGTCACCTCAAGATCTGCCGTGACCTTCACCAGTTGTTTCCTCTCGACATTTTTGTCCGACTATGTCATACTCCATCATAAAGTGTTCCCTCGCGGAGTCTCGTAATATGGGTGTTGAGTTACTGTATGTCAGGAAGTAAATTGATTTTGAGTACGCAGGTGACAATCTTGGAACGGCCAGTCAACTCCGGGTAAACTCTATTGAGTACTTCCGTCATATGGCATGAGTTTCGCACCTTCGAAGTGCAGGGTTGTTGCGGTACACTTGTTTTTTGACCCTTTACCACAGTTGACCAAGTTACCTAACTTGGCAGTTGCGATGTGCGAAAGACTGCAAAAGCTAGAATTGCGTTCCTGAGCCTGCAACATTTGTGGCGTCAGAGGAGCATTTTCCTCGGTCCCGAATGCCCTGGGTACCAATCTACAATGAGGACTGGGTTGCTGTATATGGGTCGGACTTAGCGCTTTCGGTTTGAGTCGCCTTCAAGTCTTTGATCATCGTTGTCTGCGGAGCACTTATGGTATCGGACGGAATCAGCGTATCCGCGATGATGGAGTACGCGGGCGAGTTCTAGGTATTGACAACCAAACTAGTTATTTAATGAGATGAATAACTGACCAAGCTGTGTTGGATTTTGCACATGCTACGTATGTCCGGTCGCTGAGTACCTGTAGGGTCTTGCTGTTTGTCGGACGTAGAATGGCGCATAGTTGACTTGGCAGTAGAATGTGAAGTCACTACCGAATGCACCAGGTACTGTTGGCCTGTCTCCCTTCCCATACTAGAGTGCATGCAACCCGCCATGTGTTTGCAGGGCATGATTCAAAGTGGACAACCGTGGCACGCTCACTGTGGTCTCCTAGTTGGATTGACTTTTAAAATCGGTTAATACTTATTTATCTGTGGAGCAATGGCTGATTATGACGCGGGGCAGTGAAACTCGCAAAGGAAACAACTCACGGATGCAATTTTCGCAAATCAAATACCTGTTTGTGTTGGCCCGTAGCTTAGAGGTAACGAGCTTGTCTCTTAATTATGCGGCGCGGGTACGAATCCGCGTAGGGATGGGCGTCCTCGCGGTATACTCAGCCTGGGTGCGCCTGGTGGTAGTCGCACGGCAGCGAAGCGCCGTTACCGCGTACATCTGACACATTATTATTTTTATTACATCTGTGGCGATATACTGTGAACAAAGAGCAGGCACCTCTTCTCTGTTTGCTTAGGATATTTAGTTTTTACACTAGGTCATCCTCTTCCACTTTATTATTACTCATTTCCAAGGTAATTATGGTTGTATACCAGCGAAACACCAGGTCAAATTAGGGACTCCTCGGCGCTTCTTGAATATGTAGCAGCGAGTGATGTTTTTATAATCCCTTGCTGATAGACAGGTTGCATCCCACGTTGTTCCAACAGCTAGAAGCACGGTGACTCGCCCTTGGCTCTTACCAGATCTAAGCGACTGGGACATCCGTAGTTTCCAGCATGATGCCGTACTGTGTGCCTTGCTACAAACTAGACACACTGAATCCATAAGCACAACTTTCTGTCCGTTTTAACCATCGAATCGACCGTTCTTACCCATCTGAACTGCTAGTTAGCGTATGGACAACTCACTCGATTGTGATCATGAAATTCAACTCGGCAGTAAAATTCATCTGGAGCAGGGTCACATAACAGCTACTGTCAGTAGACGTCGTGTCGGGACCAACCGTTCTCTGCAACGTCCATAACTTGCATGACATTGCAGGATAAGGCGCTGTATTGCAGTCGGGTTGGTAAATCATGACGGCCCGACACTGTCCTCCGCGGCCTAGTGGCGTAAGCTGTTGACTGGCGGTGCAAGCCGCTGATGGACATGGGTTCGAATCCTGATGGATGCGCACTACTGATGATGCCCAACAGGTTGAAACTGCAGTCTGCTGTTTTTCCGGGCACGTGAAGGACTATCTGATTTGTAAGGTGCTGCGACGAACTCTCGGTCAATTACATCAAACTTCCCCTGCTAATGAGCACACATACTAATTGTTCACTTTTATGGAAAGACGAGACAGGACGTCGGCAGAAAATGACCTCAAGTAGACCGCCGATTAGCGACCTGGCAACTATATGACACGACACAAAACTCGCGAAGGATGGCTCTAGCCTTGTCATGGGCTTGTTCGGGCGACAACATTGCACATCATCTAACCCGCTAAACATGACAATCTCAAGAGCACTCCCGTTATTCAGTCGTTTCCTGCACAGAGGACACGCTGTAACATGGCGAGCTGAGCTAGAGACTTCACGTTAATCTGATGCTAGAAACGCGATCACGCCCCACAAGTGATTCCACGCTACTAGTTCGGATTTTTGTGTCGTGGCCTTTTTAGACTGGTAGTGAAATCATTCGAGAAATAAATGACCCACCTATTCATGAAGCATGAAAGATTGTCCTAGCCGATTGGGGCGAATCGACCGTAATTGCAACATTCAAATCGTGCAGTGACACCGCAAGGCTCTCAATCTAGTCATCCACATAGCTCTCAAAGGAGGGTCGTGGAG